ATGGAGATGTTCCATTCCCGATTGCACTCATCTAGGTGAGGCTGCATGTACCAGTGTTCCTCCCCTATCATTTGTCTCTCCGAGATCGCTGACGAGTGTTTTACCTTTCAACTACCAACACTTCCACTCCTCACATGGCAGCACTTTCCTCCTCCAGCCACGCATCGCACCAATGACATCATTAAAACCGAGTTAGCGTGCATAGCAGTGACAATCTACCCACGATATGCAACATACGTTTAGCAACATTTTGCTCCCATCTTTGTAGTTGTGAACGTATCAACACCATCACTACTGACAATGGCCAAAATTTGCGGCAATGAACGTATCCCATTTACCACATTTCCTTTGGTCTGAATGTGTTTTGTCTGCTGTTAAATGTTCACCTCCAGCAGTCAAGTAACAGGCAATCTCGAGCCTTAGAAACTGGCTGTAGGCTTTTCCAGTATTGCGATGTTCACGAACAAGGATTGCGATGCAAATTATTTGTCTGACAAGTCATTTCGCCTAAAGTCGAAAATCGGAAATGCAATTCACGTTTCAAAAGGCTTAAGAATGTCCTTCAGTTCTCATCCTCCACAAGTGCTCGAGCGTGAATATCAAAATTTTCTTCTTGAAGTATAGAATCGTGGAATGGGAGGAAGACGGTGACGCCGCAATAGTGATCAGTTCCTGAGACACGCAAGTCGCCAAGGCAGTCTATTCGGGCCCCTCCATTCATCACTTGACCAACGATCCTTACAGGTGGGTTCAGTTCACAGTGAAATGCAGTAGCGTTTCAGGAAGCAGGCCTCTTGCTCATCTTCGCTCAAGACACCCGCTCAACAAATGGAAGGAGTCAAAGCAGGTTGGCAAGACAATGAGTGTGCTGGAAACCCTCCATTGTTCTACTTACTGCAAATAAGACCATCCCATTGAAAGCATTAACAATGCTAAGAGACGTCACCTCGACAGAGCACCAACATGTGATGTGCACCATTTTCACCTGTGCCATCAGGAGGTCAGGCAGATGTGCATCATCACGACTCCCCTCAGTAGTCATTGTCAAACTATGACCGAGATAGGAGCTACCAAGTGATTAGAATGTTCAATGGTTAGTCGAGCACGCAACCAAAGCTCATTGTTGCTTTTACCCAACCTTCAAACCAACTCAATGGATGCCCAGATTTGCAGTGAAGGAAACCGATGTTGCCATTTAGCTGACTCGACATCCTTGTTCGATGTCTGCCCAGTTGCAGAGGGGCTCCTTTACTGCACAGTTGTGTTGCAGTGGGGCACAAACGCATGCACATAGCTGCCTTCATCTTCCCATTTACTATCCCTCACACCTCCCTTTTGCTAGCATAGTGACACTCAGCTATCCACTCTGGCCTACATGTGGTTCGTCGCTTTTGATAGTTGCTAGAGGGACGACTTGCTGCACACCATTCCTTTCCTCCCCGCAATCAGGACAATGCCCACTTCTCAGTGTCACACCTGTGAGTAACTATACAAGCCATCGCAAGTCTCCTGTGCACGCACACATCATCACTTTTCAAGCTATCATTTTGCCTACTAATTGTGGCATTTTGAAGATTTCACCTCGAGCATCGGAGAAATGATGGTGCCACCGACACTGACACCTGCACCTTGCATAGACGCAGCATACGACAATCACTGTTGGTCAGTGCTGGCGCCGAATTTCAACTCTACGTCGCTGGCACAACCCAGAACATGCAGCTGTCATTCACCCATCCTGCAGCAAAGCCATGCGAGCCAAAACGCACAACCAACTTGTCAGTCAAGGTGATACGCAACGATTTCACAAATGTTTGAGGGACCGACTGAACAGGCAACCACAAAAACGGAACAGTCAGTTTCTTTCCCGAGCGAGTTCACTAGGTGAAATGCCTTATGCCTCGGATTGCAGAACACGCATGGTAGTGGTTCAGCCTCCGAATCGACGGACAGCACCTAGTGTTCTGTTCCAGGTAATCCGACGGCTGTCAGCTATGCACAACTTTCCACCCCTCACTTGCTGCCTCAACTTCGGTCACAATCAACTCTTCCTAGGCATGACGATGATAAGGGCACCTTTGATTCCATCTACCACCCTGTAGCGCAAGTTGCACTTACTTCGTCCCACCACCACCACCACCACCACCACCACCACCACCTCCCTTCTCCTCGAAGGATGTTGGCAACTTCGTGCACCTCTCCATAGATCGGAAATTGGTGCAGTTACTGGCTGGAAGCTGCAGCAATTGGCACCTCAATAAGGACATGCGATTGCA